GGTTTTCGTAACGGACTATTCTAGAATCCTGGCCCTAACATATATATATATATATATATACATACATATACCCAGTCCGGGCTCCGCAAAGGAAGCCTAATAGAACCCTATGCCAGCCAAAACTCGCGGGAACCCTGACCCCAAACCGCCCAAGATTATCAGCACCAAAACCGACCAGTCAAAGTACTACGCACCCGAGACCTCGTTTGGCTTGTCCGAGTCTCGCATCTCAGCCGCCCCAAGCCTTGAACCCTTCTACCGCCATCAGGGGCGAGCGCTCTGCGAAGTGCGACAGGAGGATGGTCCTCGACTGCCCCTCTGCCTTACACCAACCATAGGAATAATAGCAGGCATACGGAGAATGATAGTAAAGTATTGATAACATTTCAACATTTCGAACAAATACTAATAAGGACTAAAAAGCTATGACAACAATAATACCAATAAAAGCGATACCAGTTGTCATAACAACAATTCACTAATACGAACGAATTCATCTAATTCTTAAGGCCCCTATGTCAAGCAGGTGGTTTTTCAGAGGCTCCGTGGGGGAAATTACGTAATGGGGATGATCCAGGCCAACCTTGAAGCGTGAATACAAGGATCATGGGGACATGTTTTGCTTGGCTTGGAGGGTTGCAGAGGTCAGGATTGATGGCTAAACAGTATCTTTGTTAAGGAAGGCTCCGTGCTTTCAAGTGATCATAATTGCATTAAAACCCTACAACCCTACACCTACACCATATACTCCTGACTAAGATACACCACCCCCCACCACAAAGAAGTCGTAAGCCCTGACGTCCAGGCGCCAGGTTTAGGAAGCTTCAGGGATTCGAGCACCAAGAGCCGGAACCCTGCACCCGGCTAAGCATTTTGAACACCCCCTCATAATCGAGGGGCCTTAATGATTAGAATAGGGTTTCGGGAGTTCGTCATTGTAAGTATAGTAGAATACCCCCCCCCCTTCCAAAAAAACAAAAATATTAAGGCCCCTACATTACCTCGTCGGGACGTGTCCGAGTGTGAGCGTCAAGGAGCCCGACTCCCCAAGACGCCCCGACACCTCACATCTCTACCCATAGGCCCCAAAGTAGTTCCTTTTGGGGGTTCGTATATAGAATCCTATAGGGTAATCCTCAAAAGGAACTACTTTGGGGCCTGTGGGTAAACCCTGACAGCCGAAACAATCCTGAAACCCCCCCTCAAGACTCAAAAACCTTCAAAACTACAAGCTCTGATGCCCCCAAGCCTAAAGCCCGCAAACCCCAAAACCCTGAACCGTTAACGTGAGTGGCAAAGAAGCCGTGGCGTGCCGTTACCGTAGCGATTGTTCTCTGTAAAATCCCGATAAAGGCACCCCTCAAAGAGGCCCCCCTAAACGGGACCAGTTACTACACAACCCTGTAGAACCCTCAAAGGGAACAACCCCACTCTAGAGCCGTATAGTACCCTTGAGGGCCCGATCTCCAGATAACCACACCGACCTACAACCTAAACCCGAATCTCCACACCTTCAACCCTGCTAAATCCGGAGCGCCAAACGTGAAGCCCATTCTGATAAGTATATACCCACCCACTTGTCTACTATTTGCTTAAGAACCCCCAAAAAATAAAAAATATATTCCTTATGGGGGTAATATAGGGATTATTATTTTTATTTTTTGGGGGTTTCTTAAGCAAATAGTAGTTGTTCATTTGCGAAGCCACTATCCTCAGCATCTAAAGCCCGGAGTTGCAATGCCGAGGTTCCTAGCGGGAGTCGGACGGGAGCCGCTTCTTCTAAGCGCTCGGCTCGAGTAGGATTTCTGGGCGTTCCTTACTGTTCCTTAGGGTTGAAGGGTGGATGAAACTAGCATGTGAGCCCAAGGGGTCATTGGATCTATTTAGATGTTGAAGTTTGCTAAACGAGGCCTGATATAATCGTAGTGCACAGTACTTCTAACCTCAACTCCAGTTGCTCGGGCACCAAATTGTGCGGGCTGCTGAGGGCTAATCATCGAGTTTTACAAAAGTTGTTTGGATCGGATCCGTACTATGCTTTTCAGTTAACATTCCTTACGTCAAGGGTGTAAAGGTTGGTTGGACTCTACGTCGCTCTCAATCCAAGCATCAGGGTTTCACAGGCCTTTGCAGTGCTTAGCGCTTAGGGTTGGGCTATAATGTAGGAGGAGTTTGTCTCTTGGTTTGCCGCCTGGGCTTGTAGTACGGAGTCGAGCAACCCCGCTTCAAAGTGGTATTATAGGGCCTTAGTAATTACCTATACTATTTTGGGGTTCCTTATTATAATTATAGTAAAACGAGACCCAAAGCCCTATTTTCCAGCTGTTAAGGCTCCTATTTATCATATCTTTCCAGCTGGGTTTGGCTAAACTTTGGGTTGGGAAAACGATAGTCTCCTTCGGAATTATTTTTGAATTCATTCATTTAAAACCCCAGGGAATAGTAAGCACATTTTTTTAATCATGGGTCTAAGGGGGGTATAGAAAAGAGGTAAAACCCGAGACAGGTTTACGGGTGGGCGCTGCGCGTGGGCTTAGCAGTAGGAATCTTGGGGAAGGAGGGAAGCACAGATGTACAGGCATGAGGGGTTCGAAACCCTGCATCTCTTGTAGAGTCCTTGTGGTGCCTACCGGGCACACCACGATCTTTCAAGACCCCAGACACGGCTGCACCGGATCCAAAACGTGGTGGGTTATGGGTTCCTGTGCCAGGTTACGGTTTCCGACGTGCAGAATGCAAGGTAGAGTGGAATTGTGGCCTTTAAAACCGCTGAGAGTTCATTAATCCATGGTTTGCTGCGCGCCATGCGCCATCTGTTGCAACTCACCTTCTTCCGCCCCCATTGCACCCTGCACCTGCACAGCCCTCGTCCCGAAACTACCCCGAACACCATGTTTTTCAACCACAAGTTGCACTGCTAGGACCTAGAGTACTGTAGGCCCTTATTCCCTTTTTAAGGGTTCAGGTTCCCCTGTAAACTCCTGTAGTATGCCCTTTTAAGGGTTCAGGTTCCCTGACAAACCCCTTTAGACCAAAAAGGGCACCCCTTCTTATTCCTAGGTTACTCTTGGGTCTAGCCTGTCCGAGACCCCCGACTGGAAGCCCAGAGTCCGGAGCGCAGAACTTAGCAGGGAATGGAGGAATTGGGTTTAGGGTTTAGGGTAGTAGGGTTTAAGGTTTAGGGTAGTAAGGAATGGAGGAATGGGGTGTAATTATAACTACTATATTGCTACCATTCTTCCATTCCCTACTAACCAAAGGTCAGAAAGCCCCAGCTCAAGTTGGACTTTGGTGTCTGAGTCGCCAGCCTTGAGCACTAAGTACCCAGATTTCCCAAACTCGACACGCTCCCAGGTCTGAGGAAAGCCTCAAGGGAATCCTTATGGGACATCTTCAGGAAAGCTTTCGGGGGTCTTCTTTCCAAGCTTCGCATAGATACAGTGGATGTGGGTAGGGTGGGCATGGATACAGGCCCGCCAGTCGATGCAGTTTTGGATCTTATTCGCATGAGGGTGGTTGTCAAAATTATGGCCCCTAAATTTTTGGGGTACCCTAAATAGTAGGTGCCGTACTATAATAGGGACCCAGAAAGGGACCATAATTTTGACAACCATCCATGAGTCTACGAAGAGTATTCAGATGATGGCTTTAGATGTTTGACTAGCACGGGGCGATGTCTGGGTTCAGGAGAATCAAGAGATGCACGGCAGACTTGGGAGGAGTCACATCATTCAACCCCTCATGCTGAAAACCGCTTAAGCTTTATCTAGACAGAACTAAACCAAACCCTACTTTGAGTTGCAGTGTTTCGAGCTTGTGTTTGTTACGTTCGTTCGGTTTTTGAAGTTAGCCTATGCTACGTTTAGAGTATGAAGGCGAACGGGGTCGTAGCTTTCGGTTGGGGACCTCTGCAAACACATTGCATAAACATGTGGTCCACCCGCTGAAAACCCACTGACGGCCGCAGCGATTTCGGCTGAATCGCATGCTATGGTGCACCACTGTGATTCATGTCCATGTTGATGAATCTCAGTGTGGTAAGTACATCAAGCTTGGGTGCTGACTCCAGAACCTTACAGTTGCACCCGCATAGCAGCTGCAAACAGCATGGGGACTGGGGACTCAACAAACGAACCGAAGGAGCAGAATCCTTCCTATCTGGAGCCCTGAAGAAGGGGCCTTAGTCTTAGTCTCAAGAAGCACAGGTCTGTTACTAACACGCAGGCCCCTAACTCCTGAAACTTGGGGTAGCACTATTTTGCCACGCCTAAGGGCACACAGAGCCACAGAACCCGAAGTGTCAACAGCTTCTAAACCTTAGGGCCCGGGGCGCTAAGAAGGGGAAAGAGCCGAACGTTTCCGAGCTCTTCATTCAGGCCGGGGCAAGGGGGTTCCAGTTCGACGTTGCCGGGCTTTGGGGTTCAGAGAGTTGGGGGCGTCTGTGGGCAAAATGGGAACTTCCGACAATTAGGGGTAATTTATTTTGGGTATAATAAGGATTCTACTACTTAGAGTAACATAGTTAGGTTCAGAAGAAGAATGTTCAAGCTTCTCAGAAACACGTGGATGTCGCAGATGGCGCTTCGGTGTCTAGTTTCCAGGTGTATGCGGGTCAGGGTTTTCCGAAGCTTCAAAGTAGAGCTATTCGAACGCTTTACCGGAAGCTTTCGACATTAAAGCGAAACCTCTCAGATGCCAGCTCCGAATATAGGGGCCTTAATAATTACCGAGTACAATGGGCCCTAAAATATTCTAATTATTAAGGCCCCAATAGTGCCGCTTTCCATCCTTTTGGACGGCAAGGGTCGTGCCGCAAAGCCTAAGACCCAGTTCCCACCGACCAAGCACCAAAGAACCTGGCCTGGCATGTCTGAGAGTGAGCCCGCACACCTGCAGCCCCCCGACTCCGTCCAGAATAAAGTTTAAACCTACTCCATATCCCTGAAAGCCATGTGGGCTACATAGGTGGCAGCTTGCTCTGCGAGACCTTTGATGTTGAGATGGGCCCAGCGCCCAGCTTCCCTCCCTTTTGTGATCATAGCTTTCGCAGGGTGAGAGGAGTAAGTAGCCACTGGCCTGCTTGGAATACTACGATCCCTGTATTGTCCCAAGGTGTAACCGGGATATGATTTCCAGTCGTTCAGACAGATCTATCGCAGGAAGTATCATCGATGGCCAGGTCGGGGCTTAGCAATTGCTTGTGTCGCATCGGTTACTGAGCCTGGCACAGCACCTCGTGTTCTAGGTACAGCCCTACCCCTCATCCCAAACACTTTACGCACCTGTAATAGTGACTATAAGTTGGGTACGGCCCCCACTCAGTAACAGTTGGATAATATTCATAATATAGATATATAAGGCCCTTAATAGTAGCCCTATTGTAGACTGTTACTGTATGGGGGCCGTACCCAAACTATAAGGATTAGGGCCCTATTATATTCCTATTATACCACTATTACAGGGTGGGGGCAGCTTTTAGCTCACACCCTGTAATAGTGACTATAAGGATTATACCCTAAACCCTAAACCGGGCCCTATTATATTCCTATTATAGTCACTATTACAGGGTGGGAGCAGCTTTTAGCACACACCCCACAACAACTAGGACCTAGAGTAGGCCCTTGTTCCCTTTTTTACGGTTTAGGATCCCTTATAACCCCCTTTAAACCAAAAAGGGCACCCTTTTTATTCCTAGCTTACTCTTGGGTCTAAACATAAGTCCAAGGCCCCAAACCCCAACGCAAGCCTCGCTGGAGCGTCTGGGCTCCGAGCACCGAAACCCAAAACGTCATCCAAAGATAGAAGCGTCTTAGGGGTACAAAGAAATATTTCTGGATATTTTGTTATTAGAATCCCTGAGAAACAGCTAGAATTAGAAAATTATTGCTAGGGTTCTAAGTTCAGTATAGGATAGAAGCAGGCCTTGTAAAGCCTCCTTGCACGAAATCCCCGTTACACATCGTAGATTCTTTGACATAGAAACTCACCAAAATCTGAAAGCCTGAAAGTCTACATGGGTGGGTACGACGCCAACACACAACTTCGATAGAATCTGAAATCCTTAAGCCCTGCCCTACATGGGTGGCGGTGCAGCCTCATCTAAAGTTCCGAGCTTCAGGCGTCCTCTAGGCTTTCGCAGGGTTTCGGGCTTCAGCTTTTGCTTCTTGTTGGTGGTGGTAGCCGTAGGTCAAAGGGGAAAAGCAGGGACCCTTAATTGGGACCCCTAGCCTATAGTGGGCTATATAATGGGTATATACTAGCTATATTAAGGGTATGTATATAAGGGGTCCTTATTGAGGGTCCCTCCTTTTACCTTTGGATTCTTGTTGGTGGTGGTAGCCATAGGTTTAGGCCTTCGGGCTTCGGGTTTAAGATCTTGGGCCTGAGCGGCTTGAGATTTCGCAGCTTGTGAAGACGGACCCGAAACACTGCCGAGATCCGAAGCCCATCCCAGGTTTGTTGTTTCGGGTTCTTGTTCTCAGCCCCTAAACCCTAGAACCCTAAACTTGTCCGAGTGTGAGCGCCGACAAACCCTAGAACCCCAGACTCTAAGAATTACAGCCTGCAAGAAGCGCCCGTGGCGCCAGCGCACCTGTTCTCCTGAAGTATCTTCCTCGGGGGGTGGGGTTGCCCTAAACCCCTAGAGATCACGCTTCAGGGTTTTGGGTCCTGAACACCCTTACAGCACCCCACAACTAGAGCCCTCAACAAACAAGCCTCAAACTGTAAGGCCCGCAGACGAGGCAACAAAACCGATCACGAAGTTATGGAGCCCCTGCAGAAACCCAAGCAGATAGCCGACACTGAACCCCAAAACCCTAAACTCTCGTAAGAAAGCCAAGCAGATAGCAGAGAAGGTCGAAAGAAGAAGCCAACGAACGAGGAGATAGAGCCCGAGCCTTTTTTTGTGGAGGACAGTGTTGGGCATGGAGTTTTGGGGCCTCGGGTTATTGGCGTTTTGAGTTTAGTTTTTACGCTTTTTCGGGCTTTGGGTTCAGGGTTTGGGGCTTTAGTGCTTTGAGGATTTAGCGTGTTGCGGGTCAAGTTCTTGCTGAACGATTGATGTTTGAGCAGTTGTGGAGGATGAGCATTCAACAAGTTGCGGAGCATGGTTTAGGGTTGAATTTTACTCAGGCAAACCTATCTCGGTACCCCTTTGATAAGTTCCAGTTTTGGATCTCGCAGGAGGTTTGCGTAAAGAAGGGAGCCGCAGACCGTAAACCCTAGACCCGTACCTTGCCTTCACTTGTGTTGATGTTGACCTCAACTGAGAGGCATTGCACAGCTTCGGTCTTCTTATCTTCTTATCATATAGTATACTCTAATAATATCAGATGTTGTAATATAATATAATGCAATTATAGTATATCATGTTTCGATTCTGGTACTCTGGGGATCTGTCCCTTGAACGGCTCGGTCAAACGCATCGTGCTCGACAGAAGTCAGCCGCATGTATCTCCTGAGATCTGCTCCTTCGTCTCGGGCGTAGGTATAGGGCTTACGGATGCTTAGGGTTTACTTGAAGGACCACGGGACTTAGTAACTAAGGTCATAATTAAGGTAACCATACTTATGATTACTTAAAACCCCAATTAAGGTACTTATAACCTAACTTACTAAGTCCTCTGATCCTCCAAGTAGGGTTTAGGGTTGAGTTTAAGGCTTAGGGCTTAAACTCTGGGACGGAGCCCCTTGAAGATCGAAGATGGGTTCGCTGCTGTTTGGCAACTACCGCAGGCCCAACTGTATACAGCAGGGGCTTCGGTGCTTAGGGTTTAGGGTTCGGGGTTTTAGGGTTTAGGTTTGATCGTAAGATCATGAACTGTAGCCAGTACTTCTGCAGCTTCGCGCGATGCTGCCTTTGCCGCCTTTGCCTTTCACCTTCCCCGGCCGACTTCCCAAGCCCGGATGCAACAAGCGTTTAGGGAAGAGCGGAGTCTGCAAAAAACAGGGAAGTGTGCAATTGCCGAAGAGGGAGGCTTCTGCTAGAGAGCCATCGAGCGCAGTGTTCCAGCCTCTTCATTGAGCTGCGCGAGCTAAGCCCTTGACCCAAGCCGTCCGAGCAAGGCGGGAGGCCAAAGAAGCTCTTAAATCCTGAACCCTGTATCCTAAACCTAAACCCTAAACCCAAGCCCTAAATCCTATATCCTAGCCCTAAGCCGAGAACAGAGCCATCTTAAGGCTTAAGAGCAACCCAAGCGCTAAGTCCAGGGTCGAGGTTTCGGATCTTAACTCACTTCTCTTGTGACTTTTCTTGGGTTTGTTCGATCTTGTTGTTGTGGTTTTGGGGGTTTCCGTTAGAGGGATCTCTGCTTTTTGGGCTTACCTTCTAAGGGGAGTGGAGTGAGGAGTTGCTCGGGTTTTTGGGGGCTTTTTGAGGGCGCAGGGTTGAGTTGCATCGGCTTTCCGGTGCATGGGTTGTGAGGGTCTCCAGTCTTTCCGGTGTATATTTGGGAGTTTCCGAAAATAGGGGACCCTAATAAAGTACAATAGTAGGATCCTTATTTCAAGGACCCCAACAGAAGGTACCCCTAATTTTCGGAAACTCCCACTATCGGGAAGATGACAAAATCCTAGACCCAAAACCCTAAACCCTAAACAACAATCCTGCGCAATAGTTAGCCTTGGCAGGAGCCTCCGAAAGACTTGAAGAAGAAGGCGCGTGCAGATGCGTCAAAGAGGGCAAGGGGGGCCTGTAAGCGGTTGAAGGATTTCAAGGGGGCTTCAAAGAGGGACTTGAAGGGGATGAATTCTACAATTTAATAATTTTCCACATTCAATCAAACAAAAATGAAATTCTGAGTTTTGTTTTGCGGTAAAGAGCTTGGTTTCATGCCCTTGGCCTGAAGCCCTTACTAGATCGCCGTGATCCGCGCCTGCTCTGCGAGAATGCGAGTCGAAACCCTAACCCTAAACCCTAAACCCTTAAGCCCCTGCTTTAAAATTCCCAACTCCGAAGTCCTAAGGTAAAAGCCAGAAAGTTGGAATATGATTATCCTAAGCCCTTTATGGTAAATTATAGGGTATCCTACCCTGAAGCCATATTCCCAACCCCGAAGTGGGAGTTTCCGAAAATTAGGGGTACCTTATTTTGGGATCCTTATAATTAGGACCCTAAACCCTAAACCCTACTATTTAGGGTACCATATTAGGGTCCCCTATTTTCGGAAACCCGGAAGTCCCAAAGGAGAAAGTCGAGCGGGAGACATCTTCAGAGCCCGAGCTTGAGCCCAAGCGCCATGACCTCGAAGCCTGGCAGAAATCTAGGATATAGAGTTTGGGGGTTTACCTTTTTAGGGTTTAGGGTTTTAGGAATCCTGGCAGAACTTTTGGGTTTAGGGTTTGGGGGTTTAGGGTTTAGGTTTTAAGGAATCCTGGCAGGAAGAGAGGTCGGAACGTTTAGTGGGATTTAGGGTTTAGGGTTAGTAGCAGTATCCTCTTTAAGCCTCGTCTCTTTGTGGCGCTACTATGATCCCCTACTCGGTTCCCATCCTTTCCGCCAGAAAGCATCTGAGGACTCTGTAGCAATGGGAGGTATCAACATGTAGCCCTTGAGCCCCTTAAGACCCTGAATCCCTTCCGCTTAGGGTTTAGGGTTTAGGATTTAGGGTTTAGGGTTTAGGGTAAGCCCACAAATCCTAAACCTCTATGCGATTATGCGCCCTAATCTACCTTATGGAAACCGTTCTGGAGACCTTGTCCTAGTTCCCAAAAGCCCAAACCCTATGATACCCTTTTAAGGATCCGGACATCCAGCAGCTTGCCTATACCTTCAAGATCGATGCCGGCTTGACCCAGAAGCTGAACGACATCATGATCGAAAAGAGGCGGTTTCGGGTTTACTTGGAGGGGCAGGGGACTTAGTAAGCCGTTTATAAGTAGGGTGATAATTAGGGATAACTCCATTTAGGGTACTTATAGAACTCTACTTAGAACCTACTTACTAAGTCCCCTGCCTCTCCACGTAGGGTTCGCTGGCACGCTATCCAAGCCCAGGCTGAGAAAGGTTCAGGGTTCAGGTCTTGTTGTTGAGGTTTTTTTGTGTGTTTTGGGGTTGAACGGTTCAGCATCGTCGCCAGGCCCTCTGTTTCCTTCTTCAATAGGCCTGGATGCAAAGAAGGGATGAAGAGATTGGGCCATGCCATTGGTGACATGTTCCTTTTTGGTTTTAGGCGGTTTAGCTTTCTGGTTCGGGGTTGGAGGATCCAAGCTTTAGAGGGTGGGGTTTAGGCTTGATTGAAACCTGCTGCAACCAGCCCCCTTGTACTCTCGAGAGCAGTCGTACTTATACTTTCTTTGCCAGAAGCCCTAAGAAGCCCGCATTTCCACCGACCCCAAACCCTAAGACCTAAACCCAAACTGTAGCAAACCTATTTGCAGACGGAAAAAGGGCCTTCAAGAAAAAAACACACTCACAAAGAAGTCGCTGTGAGCGCCCTGGGAGGATGAATACCTGGGAGCAGGATCTGGCGAGGCTCTACGAGATCCTCAAGGACCTACTTGGGTTTTGGGTTTAGGGCTTAGGGGTTTAGGGGTTTAGGGTTTTTGGGTTTAGGGGTTTAGGGTTTCGGGGTTTAGGGTTTCGGGGTTTAGGGTTTAGGGGTTTAGGGTTTAGGGGTTTAGGGGTTTAGTTTAGGGTTTAGGGGTTTACGGGTTTAGGGTTTAGGGTTTAGGGTAGTTGTCAAAATTAGGGTCCCTTTCTGGGGCACCCTAAAAAATAGGTGCCGTATTATAATAATGAGCCAAAAAGGGACCCAAATTTTGACAACAAGCCAGTCGGAGGATCAGGGGACTTAGTAAGCTGGGTTATAAGTACCTTAATTGGGGTTATCAGTACTTCAAGTACTTGGAGGATCATGGGACTTAGTAAGTAAGGTTATAAGTATCTTAATTGGGGTTATAAGTAGTTATAAGTATAGTTACCCTAATTATAACCCTAGTTACTAAGTCCCATGATCCTTTAAGTATGGGTAGCTTAGTTATAAGCACTCAAGGCCCTAGTGGGGCCTCATAAGGCAAAGCGACTGCAGGATGCGCACACGCCAGCAGCAATGCTCAATCTCAAGGTGAAGGACATGCAGAAAGGGACTTTCGTGGGCAAGGCAGGTTGGGTGTAGGGTTTCCTGGAAATCTCCTTCTGGGTTCAAGTATATAGACGAAGCCCCTGACCCGCAGCATGGCACAGTTTGTGGGGCTTAATGGGTTGGCTTTCAGAACTGTTGGCTGCGGTTCGAGAATTGCTTTCCATGCTACGTAATACAGGGGCCTGCGCAATTCAGTGGTCATGTAAGTAGGGTTATAAGTCCCCTAATACGGGTTATACTTATAGTTGCCCTACCTGTGATCCTACTCTTAACCACCCATGAACCTCCAAGTAGGGTACTCAGCCCCTAAGGTTCAGCTCATAAGCTGTGCACAAAGCCCATAAACCTTAAACCCTTTAAACCCTCTAAAACCCCAAAGCCCTAAACCCTAAGCCCTAGAACCTAAACTCGGGTGCAATGCGGGATTCGTCCTTGCTAAGTAGGAGGGAAAAACCGTAAACTCAGCCCCTAATGTGGGTTATAAGTATAGCTACCCTACTTATAATCTTACTTATAGCTACCCATGAACCTCCAAATAGGGTACGGGTCAGCCCCAAAGAGGACTTTGACCTGCCCTGAGGCCAAGTGCGGGCCCAGGGTGCGAGAGCTGGCGCGCAAGCAGCCGGCCCAGAGAGCTTTTGGGCTTCTTGGGGGTTTAGGGTTTTGGGGTGAGCAAACTACAAGGCGTCCTTGCAAGCAAGCCTGCAGCAAAAGGGTTTTGGGTTTTTTGATTATAAGTCCTGAAACGGGTTTCAATGCTTAGGATCTAGGGGTTCCTAGATCCCCCAACTTCCCTCTGTTCAACCCGAAACACACACACTATTAAGGACCATAAGGGCTCTTTTTGAAGGGACATGGGGAGTTTCGGTTGACGGTAGGGTTTGGGCGGCCTGTCGTGATGTTATTGCTTATGCAGTTTCCTATCATACTCAAAGGTCAGCTTGTTTTGGCTATAGTGAACCCCCGCAAGTTGAAACATGGGTTTGAGATGATTAGTGCTGGGATTCGGTATACTTTGTTTGATGGAGAGCTGAGGCTTCTACCTCTAGGGCATTGAACCCCTAAATTCCCAGATTAAAACCCCCATACTACTACTCCGAGAGGAACACCCTAAACCCTAAACCGTTAGCCTAAACCCAAACTTTCGAAACCCTTTTCGAAGGACCCCTTAAAGGGATCCCTTAAAGGACCCCTTCAAGGACCCCTTAAAGGGACCCCTTGAAGGACCCCTTAAAGGGATCCCTTAAAGGATCCTCAAGTCCCCCCGGGCCGAAGCTCCGTCTGCAGGCACAAGCTGGACAAGGGTGCCGCAACCAAGCTCGAAGAGGCCTACGAAGGGAGGATCAGGGAAAGGGATCTATAGGGTTCCTTAAAGGGATCTATAGGGTTTAGGGATTAGGGTCTACTTGAAGGATCAGGGGACTTAGTAAGGTAGGTTATGGGGTTTAGGGTATAGATAGTTCTTGTGTATGATGCCGTTGAGAGTGGTCGCATGCAAGGCATTATGTCTTGTGTGTTTCCTCTTTCTTCAAGGTACCCGGCAGTCGCGATAGGCCTGGATGCAAAAGGGTATAGTTTTTAGGGTTTAAGGTTCTTAGTAAGTTAGGTAATAGGTACCTTGATTGGGGCTATACGTAATTACAAGTATGGTTACCTTAATTATAACCCTATAGCTACTAAGTCCCACGATCCTTCAAGTAGCCGAGCAGCCTTTAACCTTTTGTCTGGGTCTTCGAATCCGGATCTAATTCCAGACGGTAGCCTGTAGTTAGCTCCGTCAGGAAACAGGACAAGTAAGAGGAAGTGGAGAGACTATAGGGACGACCATAAGGGATTATATAAGGACCATTATAGGAGTGCACTCCCGCTTAAGACGCAGCAGAAAGGAGGGCACTCCGAGAAGACAACGCAAGAGCTTGGAGCTGGATTCCTGCTTAAGGGTTGGGTGTCGCAAGACTGGGCTTTGGAGTACCATACTTTAATACTTTTTTCGTAAGGGAACCATTATGAAATAGAAGTATATACTTTTTTCTCCCTGGTTACTTAAAGGCCCAGGAGATAGGGGTCGGAATGATTGATCATAATATCGCCTTACCGTCTCTTTACAACTGTAGTCGACTATACCCGTTCTGATTATGGCAACTATTCCCCGTTCTGATTATAACAACTATACTACGGCTTTCAGTGGGATTTTGGTTTTCTGGTTGGAGGCTTTCCGACCCCTTCGCGGCAGGGTTGCGAGGTTTGGGGTCTAGGGTTTACGGGTGGTTTAGGGTTTAGGGTTAGGATCTGGCTAGCCCCAAGCCCAGTGGCAAAAAAGGGTTTACGGGTGGTGGGAGCCGCGCGCCGTGAATATTGTTTATAATGTGACAAAAAGCAAAAAAAGATATCATATTGTAATAGAATAGAACTTCAATAACAAGACACCCTCAATAAGTGCAGTCGTTGTAGCAAGCAGCACAAGAACCCCGAGCTGTTGCTTTGTGCATGCAGGCGATGTCGATGAGAGAAGCCATGGGAAAGGACGTCGAGAAGGACCGTTCCTGGCTTCTCAGTTCTACAAGTAGATTACAGGGCAGACAGACCCTAAACTCACAAAACCCTAGAAGTCGAGTAGGACGCAGAAAACCAATTACACCGTTTCTCCAAGCCTTTGCAATAGCCATGGAAGCTGGGTGTGGTACTTGCCATGTTTGTTCGGACGTCTAAAATCGCACTGGAAGCTTTCCCAGTCCATTCTGGATAAAGGAATTCCAGGTTGGGTCAACCAAGATAGTGGATTGCCACGACTTCTACGTGTTAGTTGCGTGCCGGCAGCATTTACCGACGGGCTGGGTCCCTAGCATTCAGCAAGCGCCAAGGGCAGGTTCTGTGATGCGCTAGTTTGGGCGCAGCAGCACGTTTGAGCAGGCAGCAGAATATGATTCGCATTTTGCTGCTCTAATGTAGAAAGAAGCTGTAGTAGTGGCAATGATCGTAGTCATCGCAATAGTTGCAGAGCAATCGCCGTGACACCATCAATGGCAATGGTAATGGCAATCGCAACAGTAAGACACAGATGGAGCCCCTCTGTGAAATTCGTAAGGCCTCTAACTTATGGGCCCCCAGGTCTCACTGTGAGGATCGTACTATTCAGAATTTAGAGTGAGAGTAATCGGAATCGTATTTGTGACAGTAGTAAGAGTAACTGTACTCGTAATAAATGTAAAGTACGAAGAAACCGGAGACCCTAAACCCCAAACCCTAAGCCCCACATCCTAAGCCCTAAACCCCAAACCCTAAGCCCCACATCCTAAGCCCTAAACCCTAAACCCCACCTCCTAAGCTCCAAACCCCCAAACCCCTCTCCGGAGGACATTTTCCTCTTGGATGAGCACTTGACCGCCTCGAACAAGCCATCCGCTCTGATCAGCATGAAGCCCTTGGCCCAGAAGTGCTTTGGGAGTTTCCGGAAATTAGGGGTATACTGTTCCCTTAAGGGTTCCCTCAAAGGGGTCAAAAAAGGGATCTATAATGAGGATCATTGTGGGAGTTTCCGGAAATTAGGGGTAGCTTTAAAGGGATCCATGAAGCCCTTGGCCCAGAAGGGCTTCGGGGTTTAGGGGTTTAGGATTTAGGAAGTCATACCTGATGAGTGGCACGGCAGACTTGAAGGTTTGCTTTAGGCGTTGCAGGCTGGATGCAAAAAAGGATTTAGGGTTTAGGGTTTTAGGGGTTTCGGGGTTCAGGGTTTAGGGTTTCTGGCTAGACTTGAGTCCAGTGGCAAAAAGGAGTTTCGGGGTTTAGGGTGTTTGTAGGGTCTTTCTTTGGGGGTAGCTGATTGTAGAGTCCTTATTGGGATCCCACTATTTAGGGTGCTATATTGGGGCCCCCCAGTTTCGGAAATTCCCAAGTGCTTTGGGGTTGAGTTTGAGTCTTTAGTAGGGTTTGGGGTTCAGGGTGGGTGTGTGTTTGGCTAGACCGGGCAGCTGGAGAACGAGTCCTGTTGCAGAAAAGGGGTTAGGGTTTAGGTGTGCGTTTAGTGGATCGAAGTCGCTTGGGCCTTGGGTATTTCATGAATCACGGCATAATTCTCGAGGGGCTAGAATGGTATGCTATCCGGAATTATTGGCCTCTAATTTGGGATCAGTAAAGCAAAAAATGGCTTAAGCTAGCAGGTTTACAGTTCAAGGTTTAGCATGGCAGGGTTCACAGGTTCAGGGTTCACGGCTGAGTAGTGGGTCGCGCGCGGTTCAGATTTCCGAGCAACGGGATTTGAGCTTCGGGTGTCAAGTTCATGGCATACTCCCGATCTGTTTTTGTAATTTGTGCACGTGTGAAGTAGCATGTTGTGTGTGTGCAACATTGTGGCACAAGTGCTCTGAGGGTAAAAAGGCGTAGATACCCAATGGTACAGCTGCGCTAGTCCTTAACACTTGGACGGGTATCATCAGTGCGTGTGTGCAGTGGTTTACAACAACTATAGGTTATCAGCCGTATAGCCTACGGCCTGGTCACAACTGGTTGGTTACAATACAATCAATCAGCGCATGAGCGAACCGGAACTTATTCCTGCAAGTATGGATACAGTTACAAGCACGGTGAACCCTTTTCAGCCCCCGGTCACGGGTGGCCATACAGGGAGCGGCGCCCCCGGCTTAGTTTTCCCGGCACCAGCCTCAGTCCAACAATTCAACGTCTTCGCACCACAGTATAGTGTCGAAGTACACGTTAACCAGATCAGACTGGAAGTCGGAGAACTAGAGGCTCAGGCAGAAGCTAGACACAGGCAACACATGCTGACCTATCAAGAAGCATCCGCAATTCACACAGCTGACTTGGAGCACAGAGCAGAACGAAACCACCTTGAAGTGGTGGCAGAATTGCAAGCAGCCTTGGCACAAAGCGAGTTCAAGGCGGCAAATCGCGAAAGGCTCCTGTTGTCGGAAATGACTTTAAGTCAGGCGCATTCCTATGACGAAGATCAAAGGTTGCGTCAAGAGCTAGCGGAACTTCAACAAAGCCGAATCACAGACGCATTGGATCAACATCTGGCGGAATCACGCTTTGCACAGAACCTCGAAGAACAGGCGAGACGGCACGTCGAGAATTCCCAGGAAGTCATGGTTGAACAGTTCCAAGCACACTTTGAGTTGTTTAGGAACAGGCAGAAAGAAGAGTATGAGGCGTCCCTTGCTGTATGTAGGGAACAGAACGAAGAGCTTCAGGACAGGTTGGATTCTGCGGAAACTGCACTAGAGAAGGTCTTGGATCAGTACAACCCAGCTACTCCAAAGAGTCAGCCAGTGCCTGCTCCAAGCACCCCTGCAGGTCCCTCTGTTGTCCCCAAAGCTCCTCAAGCGCCCATGTTCTCAATGCCGAACGTAATCCCCCAGGGTGCCAGATGTCTGTTCGAGTCAATGAATCCAGGAGGTTTGAATGCTCAGTCCATTCCGTCTGCAACAGCATCTTCAATCCCCAAGGCAGGACCTTCCCAGGCAGCGCCAGGAACAGCGGCCCCTCCAGCGGCCGATTCCGGCACGCCAGGGACGGAGGCTTTCAACACAGGTCTCCTAGAGACCCAAATGGCAATTCTTCAAAGCCTAAGAACCTTAAGGGGTGAGAGCAAAGTCGATGCTGACAAACCCAAAGTGAAAGAAGCAGAGTCCATCAACCTTCCGGATTTCCCAAGTCCAGAGTCGTATCGTTCATGGAAAACGGCAGCTAGGGAAGCGGTCAGGGCAGCATCAGATTCTCCTGATGAGGCGTTTAAATGGGTGATGAAGGCCTACGACAAAGACGCATCGCAGGAATCCCTTCGAGACCCTGAGAAATTCCTCACCCTTGACACGAAACTTCTTGCTGCACTCACCAAAGTCGCTAGGGGAGAACTCTCCCGAGAAATCCTCATTTTTAAGGAGACAGAAGCGGCGAAATTCAGGGCGGTACGAGGACGACAGGTGCTCTACCTCTTCGATCAGTACTTCAAGACGAACGAGGAGGTTGGCTCACTGTACTCCGTGGAGGACCTGCTGAAAGTAAGGTTAATCAATGACGACCTTTCAGTGTTCATTAGCAACTGGGAATCTGTCATGTCTGGACTTAGCCACACACCGGACGAAACGACCCTAAGAGACATTTTCCTTCGTGAACTCAGGCAGTCCAAGAGGCTAAAGTACGATCTTGAGATTTACGACAGGGCATCAGAGGGCACGGATCAGCACACGTACAGGTTTCTTGTGAAGTCACTTAAGGATCTTTTGACCCGAGAGCGCAAACGCAAGAACCGTGACCGCATCGCAAGATCTCACGGAGATAAGTACGGTGCCCCTGCCTCAAAGTCTCCTGGCCGAACTTCCAGCCCCTCTTCAAGAGGTGGCCGTGGCAGATCGCAGAGCCCAAGGCCAAGATCACCCAGCAAAGGTAGATCCCAGTCTCCCAGCAAGCCTAGGACACCTAGCCCAAAGGGAGTATGCTACGATTTCCTCAAAGGAACTTGCAAGCGAGGCAATAACTGCCCTTTCCTTCACAAGAAGAGATCATTGTCCCCCAAAGGCGACAAACAAAAGAAGAAAATCAACGTGACATGCAAGTTCTGGAAAGAAGGCAACTGCAACAAGGGTGACAAATGTCGGTTCCAGCATAAGGATGTAGAGAAGCCGTCAGCTCCCGCACCCAAGTCCGAAGCCGCCCCGGCAGCTCCAAAGCCAGGGTCACCTAGGGCCAACTCCCCTGCCCCGCGCAGAGGGAGAAGTCCCAGGGCCAAGTCAAGTGACAAGGCTCCAAAGACGGCCGCATGCGCCATCGCGTTCGAGAATACAGCGGATCTTGAGATCTCGCCAAAGCTCGCTATGGCAGCGTCACATGACGAGGACTACTGGGAGGTAGACTTCACCGGCAACAAAATCATCCGCCATCACAAGAAGTACCGAACGGATTGGTATGTTCCTGACAATTCATGTCCTGTGAACCCCAAGAAGCTTAGGAGCCAAGCTAAGCTCGAGCAGGTTTTGCCGGTCTCCCCTTTTGTTGGAAACAAGATCTACAACTGGAGGAAGACCCCAACCAAAGGACCCGGCAGCACATGGGTAGGAAAGACGATCTTCTACATGCAAGAACTCCCTAAGGTGAGTTTCGACAGCACAGTAGAAATGATTGCCATCGAACCGGAAGGAAAACAGAGAAAGCATGCCTACCTTCCCAGGGTTTATGATGAAGTCTATCCCACTGTCGAGAAATGTCCACGCTCGAATCCTAAGGATCTGAAGAGGGCTCTTGTGTGGGCAAAGCAGTTTGCCACCATGATCGAATGCATGGTTCACGACACGCCTGCGGGATGCGGGTATGAATGCATGGAGGAAGGCTTCCTCTGCGAGGAGTGCGAGCGACTTGCACGTCCGTCATGTGCAGGTCTGGTCCCCGGCTTAGAATTCCTAGCGGATACCGGAAGTGAAGAGGACCTCATCAGCAAGTCGGACTGCAGAACTCACTTCCCCGACGTACCCATAGAACCCGCCTCACGTCCTGTCTCTCTGATCACCGCCAATGGGCCGGTAAAAGGTAATGAAGCCGTTAAGCTTGAGGTCCCTGAAATCAACAAAATCCTCGAATGCTACGTGCTAGATTCAACGCCGCCGGTGTGCTCTGTTGGTAGGAGATGTATGGACGAGGGTTTTGATTTCCATTGGTACGCAGGGAAGACGCCTTACTTCGTGACACCCGAAGGCCGGAAACTTTACTGCAAGCTGCGCGGGCGAGTCCCGGTAATTGGGGATGGTACAATCGCTGTTCCCGCCAAGGATGAGAAGGCGGCTCATTCGCCAGTCATCCAGGCAACGTCGGGTTTTCCCCGTTCAGCGGCCTACTAAGGCACGCCAATGCAGCAGAATCCGAGCCGGAAGGCGAATCCTCGGGCAATGGCCTCGACCCCAGGATCGAAAAAGCACTGAAAGAGGCTGCTCCGTTAGGCATAAAGGCGGAGTACTTGAACAAACCAGGTTGGGTTTCGCATCCTTCCTTTCCACAGATGATCGTGGGGCACTTTCCCAAAACCTTTAGAACGCCTGCTACAAGGTTTCCAAAGCACGTCATCCGGAGTACTTGGACTTATGTCAAGAAATGGCAGGAGATCGAAAAGGACGTGGATGTAAGGACGTTGGACAATCGGGTAGCCAAGCTCCCTTCTGATGCCTGCATTCTCAGCGTAACGATCTTTAAAAGACCTGTTGATGACCCCGAGCCGGAGCCTGACAGCGAAAGAGAAGCTGAAGCTGACCCTGAAAAACGTTCAGCCCAGCTCAAGCTGCAGGCCAACAGCCCGGAGCACAAATTCACCCACCGTCCTAAGAACCCTTTCTGCAAGGTATGCCAAAAGGCCAAAATGCTAGCGCCGCATGCCAGAAAGCGAGGGGGGAGCTCCACTATCTTTTCGAAGAAGTT